ATGATTATCCTCAAAAGAAAAGAAAAAAAAAAAAGTGGATTTGTGATTTTTCTCGAGGGGAAGGACTAAGTAGGAGCTTTTTAAAAATAATAATAATAATAATTATTTTTTTATCTAAGATAGTCAATTTTTTATTAAAAAGTTGTTACAAATTAATTGTTATTTTTTATATTATAAGTAAATATCTATATTTATTTTAACTACATTATGATCCTTCGACTCTAATTATGAACCATCACAAAAAAGCTTATTTTTATCTTATCCTCTTAATACAAGAAAAAATGTTAAGAAAATGACTATTGTTATGAAATGAAAGGGCTAATACAAGTTTCAAACCTATATGCCATTCACAAAGTTTTTTTCTTTTATTTCGACAAAATTATTTACAAAGTAGTAAGAGGTGAATAACTTTAATTTAACTATTTTCTGTCAATAACAAGTTTATTTCAAAATTTTTGAGCATGTGGATAGAAAGATTCCTCAATAAAGTTGGTGATGATGGAAGTGGGATGACTTGATGAGAAATGAACGGTGATGATTGGAAAGCTAATGGGTGATCAGTTAATGATTTTGTTTTTTAAAATGCAATAGTGTATATACATTTTTAATTTATTCTATATAAATAAATGTAGAATATGTTGATGTATTATTTAATTGTTTAATATTATTTTATGTTTTATTAAAAAATTTAAAATATTTTATAATTTTGATTATTTTCAACATGTTTCTAACTTTTAAAATTTTAATTTTTTATATTCATTAAATATCATTCTGAAATTATATATTTAATTTACATAAAATATATATTTATAATAAAATGATACATAAGAAATTATAATATTTAAAATGTATCATTTCAATAATAAAGTCAATACACATGCAATAACGATATTAATAGCCTTGTTAGAAACATATATATAGGGCCAATTTCGGCTCGGTGCTGTTCTGTTCTCCTTCCATTCCACGATAATAATGATAATTAAAGGGATTAAAATTTAAAGTTAAAATGTAAGATTGATAACATGATATAAATTATATCATTTAAAATGTTAAAAAAATTATATTATTTAATAATTAATTTTTTATTTTTAAAA